AGTTGTTTCCCCCAGGTGGAGGGAAGGCCGAGGTTTCACTCAGCTTCCCAAGATGCCAACTCTGCCTTCAGTTCTCCTTTCCACCACCATCCTCCTCTCCTGTGATTTCATAGAATCACAGAATCAGCTGGGTTGGAAGGGACTTCAGAGATCATCAAGTCCAACCCTTGATCCAACCCCGCTGTGGTTCCCAGCCCATGGCACTGATGCCACATCTAGCCTGTTCTTAAACACCTCCAGGGATGGAGAATCCACCACTTCCCTGGGCAGCCCATTCCAATGGCTGAGCACCCTCTCTGGAAAGAAATTCTTTCTAATATCCAACCTAAACCTCCCCTGGCACAACTTGAGACCCAGCCCTCTTGTCTTGCTGAGAGTTGCCTGGGAAAAGAGACCAACCTCCCCCTGGCTCCCCCCTCCTGTCAGGGAGTGGCAGAGAGTGAGGAGGTCTCTCCTGAGCCTCCTCTTCTCCAGGCTGAACAGCCCCAGCTCCCTCAGCCTCTCCTCACAGCACTTATGCTCCAGTCCCTTCCCCAGCTTCATTGCTCTCCTCTGGACCTGCTCCAGCCCCTCAATGTCCTTCCTGAGCTGAGGGCCCAGAACTGGACACAGCACTCCAGGGGTGGCCTCACCAGTGCTGAGTCCAGGGGAAGAATCACTTCCCTGGACCTGTTGGCCACACTGTTCCTGATCCAGGCCAGGATCCATTGGCCTTCTTGGCCACCTGGGCACACTCTGCCTCCTGTTCAGCTTCTTGTCAATCCAAACTCCCAGGTCTCTCTCTGTCTGGCTTCTTCCCTGCACCTCTCCTTTTCCACCCTGATGCCCCATTTCTCCTGAATTCTCTGTGCATTTAGAATTGAGAACCCTCCTCTCCCTCCTTACTGGTGTCTGCTTGGAGCTGCTGCCATGGCTCTGTGACAATTTGAACCTCAAGTTGTTGCAGCAGGTCAGAAATGAGACATCAGAAGTTTGGGCTTAAAATGAACTTGCCTGCTCTGAATTTGAGTTTGTAGGAGGGATGTGGAAGGAGTTTAATGTGAGTTGGGTGTAGCATTACAGGTTTGAGGGGTTTCCTACCTCTGCATGTGCATCAGTGGGTGCTGGCTCCTGAATGTTCTGCACCTCAAATCCCTCTGAATTAAAGGAGGAAATCTTTCTGCAGCATCAGAAACAAGCCTGGGCTGTTTCCTTCTGGGGCTGGAAACTTTCAGGAATGTCTCTCCCATCCTCGTTGCAAAATGCTCAAAGAAAGCATGGCATGAATGAGGAGGAGTGGCCTGGGTTCAGCTGGGTGTTTCACTTGTGATATCTCCTGGGAATTTGGCTTTATTGCTCTGTTTTCTTAACCAAACTGCCATGTGATTCTCTCAGAGGACAGCTTTACACAAGCACCTTTATCAGCCAAGCCTGGGACTCAGTACGAAGAGATATCAGTTAATATGATAAGATCTGGTTTCCCTAACCCTGTGTCGATTGGCATCAATTATATCTTTCTCTTTAATTCTGTGGTAAGACTCAGCCATCCCAGCATATTGTTTGGGATCAGTGACAGATGACCTGACCCATCATTTTTGCAGGTCACTTTGTTTATCCCTTAAAAACCTGGCCCAAACAGGAGCTATTTTCCAGTCCCCTGGGAGGACTCAGGACCTGCTCTGTACTTGCTCTCTCAGGAGCTGGTTCAGCAGCTCTAAATGCACAGATACAAGTTATTTGGCTTAGATTATTAAAAACCATCTAATTTTTGTGGCTGCTGTTTAATATCCTCTGTTTCTCTTGGAGTAGAGAGGATTTCATCACCCCTGTCTGATGGAAAGACATCTGGATGCCTTCAGGAGCTGGAGCAGTGATATCTCCACAATGCTCATGACTTCTCACCCCTACTGCTGTTCCTACCAAATTCAGTGAAATAACATAACTGTTAGGTTGAGGATTTCGGATTTCTTTCTACAAGAGCAAGGATACACTTGGAAAGGCACCAGAGTACCCCAAAGCACTGGGTGATTTGTCTGGTGGGGATAAAATTGTTATTTACCACTTAATCTGCAGAGCATCAACTCCAGCTTCCCCTTCTTGGCCGAATCACTGACACTTCCCAGACTGAAGGTGCTATTTGGGTTTTATTTGTGTATTTATTTAATGGGTGTGTAACACTCCAGTGCTGCTTGAAGATCCAGCAGTTTGATCACTGCTTTGCTAAAAAGACAGAAGCCCTTCCCTGCTGGCAGGTGGGAGAGGGTGTAATCCCCCCAGCAAGCCCAGTCTAATGAAGCATAAACCCCAGTTAGCTTCAAGTCCATGAATAGTCCCTTCTGGCACTTCAAGATAAGCTGGTATTTGAACAACTGACTGGTCTGAGCCCCTTGTAAGGAGAACTGAGCCTCTCTGGAAGCTCATTTCCCTGAGTGCTGCACTGCCTTACGAGGGAATTTTGCTCCTTGTGGGAATTCTTACCTCTTTCCTTTCTCTGCTGGCTTTTAGCATCCCTGTAGTATCCTCATCCCTGCAACATCACCATCCCTACATCCCCATCATCCCTGCTGCTGTATCCTCATCCCTGCAAATGCATCTTCATCATCCCTGCATCCTTATCATCCCTGCAGCATCATCCCTGCAACATCATCCTCCCTCCAACTTCATCCCTTCAACTGCATCCTCATCATCCCTGCATCCTCATCATCCCTGCATCCTCATCATCCCTGCAACATCACCAACCCTGTATCCTCATCATCCTTGCAAATGCATCATCATCCCCACAATATCATCATCCCTGCAGCATCATCCCTGGAACATCGTCCCTGCATGCCCATTATCCCTGCAACATCATCATCCCTGCGACTGCATCCCTGAATCCTTATCATCCCTTCATCCTTGTAACATCATCCCTTCATCCTCATCCTTGTAACATCATCCCTGCATCCTCACCATCCCTGCATCTTCATTATCCCTACAACTTCATCCCTGAAACTTCATCATAGCTGCAACATCCTCATCCCTGCAGCATCATCCCTGCATCCTCATCATTCCTGCAGCTTCACCATCCCTGTACCTCATCCCTGCATCCTCATAATCCCTGCCATGTCATCATCCCTTCAGCTTCATCCCTGCATCCCCATCATCCTTGCAACATCACCACCCCTGTATCATCATCCCTGCAGCATCCAGAGTGGATGTCTCCCTCCTCAGCACATGGATCCCATCCTACATATCTCCATCCTCCCTCTCCCTTTGTGGAAAATAGGCTGATCTGGGGACTGAGCTGGGACCAGGCAGGTCCCAGTGCCTTAGGCTGGGCTCTGAGCTGGGACTACAGCTCCTTCCAACCCTTTCCTCCTCACTGGCTGTGAATGAAGCACCCAGCTTCATTCCCACCTCATGGGGGGAGGGGGATGCCTCAATTGCTCTGAAGGCACAGCGTGGATTTTCTGAAAAATGAGAGGGATATAAACAGTTGCATGAAATTTGTAGGAATTCCTGTGTCTTGACAGAGAAGAGCATCTCCCTGTATTAAAATAGGAGTCAGGATGAGTCCCTTGGTGCTGTTGAGTTACTGCTGCAATTCCAGGGGGGTCCAAGAGCTCATCGCTCCAGAGACTGGGACAATTTTCTGGCCCTTTGCTCCATTCCTGCCTCAAAATGGGGTGTTGAGTTTGAGCTCTGTGGGAGCAACTCCACAGTCCAAGCCCTGGGAGTGAGATCAGCCCCAGTACTGGATTTATAAGATCAACCAGTTGCACAATATTGTGTGATGGAGTTGGAACAAACCCAGCTTGACTAAGACAAAAACATGATGAGGAAAACCCACTTCGTGCTAATTATTCTGGATTTGGAACTTTCCATTAGTGAGATAATAGTTAATAACCAGGATCTATTTAGTGAATCTTCTTTTCTATTTTTACCTCACTTTAGACTGTGTGGTATTTAGTCCATTAAAGGATTTTAATTAGCAAGTTTTCGCTTTTCATTCGTGAGAAATGGAGACGTGAATTTGCCTGAGGGGGCCAACGTGCGGCCACTTTACTTTGAAAAAAAATAACCTGTTTCTTGTTTTCCAAAGCATAAAAGTGGGTTTTTTTGCTCTGCCCAACAGATAACAGAAGACGTTTCAAAATTACGACCTCCAGGACTGTGTTGAGAAATAAAACAGCTCCAAGGAAAAGTCAAACATCCTGGACATGGTGACCAACGCTGCTGTGGACCCAACTGTCCTCCCCAGTTAAACCCAGCTCATATTCCGTAAATATATGAATACCTATGGAATATTTGCCATCTTATCCATGTTTTCTAACAAGTGCTTCATGTGGAAGGAAACATCTCTGCAGCCAGAAGATTGTCTCCAACTCATGTGCAATATAACCAGACTGAGCAAAACCAGGGAAAAAGGAGGAGGGGAGGTGGAAATTTGGACATTATTTCAGTCTGGTTTTATTATTATTTTTTAAAAAAATCTCTTGAAAGTTTAAGCCAATAGAAAGGAAACATTAAGCAGAGCTGCTAAAGCTCAGTTGAAGTGTTTTGCTCGGAGTGGGAGGGAGAGAGGGAATCCAGTTGCTCTCACTGTTCCCTGGTGAAGGCCACGGGCTGCTCTCAGCTCTTTCTGAATAATTTCTGTTCCATTTTTCTCCCTTTCCTGTAAATGCCCTTTATAAGTAGTTCTGTGTTGTACCAAAGGCTGTGATTTACTTTAAGTCCTTCTTAAGAAAGTGACGTCTCCAGCAACGCTGAGGAAAACAATGTCAAACAGTCAACAAGTTGTGCCTTGCTTTCAGGATCACTCCATGAAAAACTAAGGAAAAATCAAATTTCCAGAGGTGGAAAAGGTATAAAAACATGAATCCTGGCTGATCATGCCCATGCTTTGTTTCATGAGAGCCTGGGTGCCCTTTTCTGCTCTTCCACAGTATTATTAGATTATTCCCTCGTTTGGGAAGTCCATTCCTCCTTTGCCCGTTGCTGTTTCATTCTGCACACTGAGGTTTTGGGTGACAGGTTTAGAGCTGTGGGTTGCTCTGACCTCACTGCATTTCTTAGAACTGCATGGATCAATATTATCCTGGTGCAGTAGGATAAGTGGTCTGCAAAGGGATAAATCATCTGCAAAGGGATAATTGGAAAGAGTTGATGTCCCTCCTGCTTCTGGCTCCCCCCCTCTCCCTCTCCAGCTTTATCCCACCTCCTGATGCTGCCTCTTCCATCTTGGAGACTAAATCTGCCCAGCACATACTCAGTCAGAGAAGAAAGGAAATACTTGCAACAGTGTTGGATTTAAGGGTGAAAATAATGTTGGTGGGACTCAGATGAGCACAGGAACCTCTGTGTCTGCAGTGCAGTAATTCCCTGGAAATGGTTTGGGAAATGTTAGTTTGGACTGGATGGAACCAAGGGAGTTGGAGCTTCCTCTGAAGAAGGGAATGCTCAAGGGGAGGTAACAGGAGACAAAATTATGTCTGTGGAGCAGACTCTTGAGTTCATGCTGATGTGTCCAAGGACAAGCCATGAGGTTTCTACCAGGTACCTGGAAGGTTCAACAAGGACCACTCTGCCTGGAGGCAGCACCAAAACCTGAATCCTGCCCCCAGCAGAGCTCTTTACCTGCATTTCACACCAAATTCCAGGCAGGGGATGAGGCACATCCACAGGAGGCACCTGTGACATGCTTTGAGGCACAACCTGAGTGGGGATGCACTTAAAAACAAACACCCTAACTGGAAGAAAGGCTCTGAAATGGGAAAACTTTGGAATGTTCATGGCAAAGCAACCCTACTGTCTTCCTCACATGTCTCCTCTCCTTGCAGAAGAGCTTTGAAGACAAACAGGATCCAAGCAGGTTCAGGCTGGGATTGCTCTGGACTTGCAGAAGAAGTCACCTTCCTTTTTGACTGTCTGAGCCCCACATGCAAACTCCAGTTGAAATTCAGGTTGAGAAATTCCCCTAAGGTTGAGAAATGATGCAGTTCTTAAAAGGAATGCATCAACTTTGGTAAAGCTGCATTTATTTTGTTTGTTTTTCTAATCACAGATAATTCCTTGGCTTGAATTCCTGCTCCTGTCACAGCATCCTTGGTGGTGGAGACCTTGCTCATGGGAGAAGGGCTGGGGGGGCCCAAAAACAGGAGTCTCTGGGGGCTATATGTAGGTATAGGGTGAGCAGAATGGGCTGAAATGGCAAGAAAAGAAAGAAAAAGTGATAAACCCAACAGTTTTAGTCAATTTAATGAGTTGGGGGGTGAAGAGCAAATATAGATCTGGCTCTCAGTGGGACATTGCTCCTCTTGCTCTTCCCAGCATGGTACAAACCTTGTGGCCCTGGGGCTGAATGAATGAGAGAGGGCTGGTGCTGCTGGCACTGGGATTTATTGTGGGTGGGCTGGGGAGCAGGAATGCTGTGGGAGCCCATGGAGCAGCTCCCTGAGCTGGGCTGGGGAGCAGGAATTCTGTAAGAGCCCATGGAGCAGGTCCCTGAGCTGGGCTGGGGAGCAGAAATACTGGAAGGGCCCATGGAGCAGCTCCCTGAGCTGGGCTGGGGAGCAGGAATGCTGTAGTAGCCCATGGAGCAGGTCCTTGAGCCCAGGGAGATGAGCTGGGGGTGACAAGGTTCGACAGGAGAATCCCAGAGGTGAAACGACCCACGGGGTGAAATGAATCTGCCTGCACAAATTAGAGCTGATTAGAGCAGTGGCTCTCATTAACTCCAGTTTGGCTGTGCCCTGCCCTGAGGGGCCATGGGGAGAGGGAGCTTCTCCATGGGATCCTCCAGCAAATTTCCATGCTGGCAATTCCCCGTGGATCTGGAAGGGTCTGCGAGCGGATTGGATTTCCTCCCAAGCATCCCTCCCTGTCACTGCAGAGAAGAACTGTCCACCCAGCTTCCTGCACCCCTCCAGCACCAAAATTCATTAATGCTCAGACCATAAAAACTCTGAGACCTAAAAAAAACCCTTAAAGAAAGACCAGGAAAAGTGCCCAATGTTTGGAGGGTGAGGGCTGAGCCTGTTTCCATCACTGGGAACCCCAAATAACCACAGATCTCTCTTCCCAGTCGCCACAGACGGAGCTGCTGGCAGCTGGGGCAGATGGGAGCTGGGTGTTTCTGGGACATGTCACCTCCAAAATTCCTGAGGACCTGCAAAACATATTTGTCTGCAGCCTCCCTGCAGCGTGGTGGGTTTGTAGTGAGATCTTGACCTGCAAAGGAGACTGAACAAAAGCTTCTGCCACTCTGAAATCATGAGAGACTGATCCAAAAACCACTTTTCTACCACGCTGATGGGTTTGGGCTGCAAACAGCCAAAGGCCCCACAAAGGGGGCTTTGCCCACGGAGATAATGACATATTAACAGGGGGAGATTGATTTTCTGGATTGCAACACAGACCTGGATCTTGGGAAGCCCTGGTCCCAAAGGTGTTATATTTAGTTTCTTTTGGAACATGATCTAGTAGCCCTTAAAATGGGGGATAGAATGTATCGGTACTAAACTTATTTTTATTTTTGAGCTTTTTTATGGGGGGGCTGTGTGTCTGTAACATGATTATACCTCGTCTGTTTTCAACAGCCACTTGTTTAAGTGTCTCTGTTATGGCTCAAAAATGTATTTTGATGATTGAAGATGTGGGAAAAACCAGATCCCTTCACACAGTTGGGTTGGTGCGTCCCAACCACCTCACAGACATCTTACACCAATGACAATCTTGCCAAATTCCAACCTTTCCTCCATGTTGTACATACGGGTGTTGCCGTCGCTCCGTCCCGTTGGGTTCCTTTTGCTTGAGCCAACTGGTTGTTGATGTGCTTTTTTCACAGTTATTGAGAGTTTGGTAGCCTTTAACTGTCAGTCCAGTGTATTAATGTGTGTTGCCACCACTCTGACTCCAGCCTTGTGCATTCCAAAGATAACCATCGTAGCAGGGCAGCCGCATGGAAATGTCACTGGGAGCGGAGGGCTGGATTTGGCAGGGGAAGGCAAATTAAAAATGTATCCAGCCGATTAAAAAAACCAAAAAAAGGAGCGATTTAATGATGGCTGACATCAAGAGAAGATCCAAAAAATAGCGTGCTTTGATTCCCATAATCATCCGAAGGCAGGCAGCTCATCTTTATTCATAGTCCTTCAAAGCCCTGCTCCCAGACGAGAGCATCTCGGAGCTGTCGTGCCTTGGACGTGCTCTTTAGACTCAGAACAGACAGATATTTCTCCTCTGTGCCCAACACAGCGAAAGGCTGAGCACCAACCCTTTCCCCATTTAATTTTAGAGCTCTGCTGTTGGCTCCATCCTGCTGGAGAGGCAGGAAAAGCTGATCTGGGGAGCGGGGCTGGTGTAGGGTCATGAAAAGCAGCTTGTTTTTAATGCCTTGTTTTAAGCTGTTTTAAGAAGGCAGCAAAATTAGAAAGGGAAAGATCTGAAAGAGTGTTTAAGGGCACTAAGGAAGGCTCTGGGGACACAGCACAGGGATGGGCCTTAGAGGAGTGGCTGGAACAGGCTGTCAGAGGCAATGAGGAAATAACTGTGAGGCTGCTTTGCCCTGATAGATCTGGGGGGAAAAGTCAGGATTTGGTGAGGCCCTGGCACAGGTTGCACCAAGAAGCTCTGGCTGCCCCATCCCTGGAAGTGTTCAAGGCCAAGCTGGATGGACCTTGAAGCAACCTGGTCTAATGGAAAATGCCCCTGCCCATGGCAGAGGGTAGAACAAGGTGGGATTTAAGGCTCCTTCCAACACAAAACTAGTCTGGGATTCTATTAAGTTAAGATTCTGTGGTTCCTGCAGTCCCATCCCAGACTCCAGCCTCTTTCCACACGTGCTGGCAACCCCCCCCCACAGGACTGACATCTCAGAAAACACCCTAGACCACATTGGAAGTTTCATTCCCACACACACTTGGGTGTTTTCTGAGACAGGTGTTCAAATGCTGTTATTGCTACTGAATCCTTTTAAAATTAAGGGATTTCTGAGATACAGTGCTCCTCACTCTCCTGCTTTTCTTTTCATTGCACAGAGTCAGCTGGAAGGCACAGAGTCATCCCTCAACATGAGGTTAAAGTCCTGTAGCAGCCCTGGTTGAATTAAATTACACATTTCTAATCCCAGTATTTTCATCCACCAGCCTCTGATACAGGTATATTATGTTTCTTTTTCCCATTTTTTCTGCTTTCTCCAAGATTACACCATCAGCTTTTAAAGGGAATGGCCTGAGATACCTCTGACAGTGCCTGGTGTTGTCCATAACACATCAGCTCTGACCATTGCAAGGCTGGGCACTGATGCTGGTTTTAAGTCCATTTAAGTCCATCCTGTTCCAGAGGATGATTTTGGAGCAGAACAATTTACCTGGCAATGCTCAAGTCATTGATAGAGCTGGAATTGTGAGTCAAGTGGTATTAAGGGGAAATGGAGTCAGGAAGTGCCTGAAATACAATCTGGTTTTAATACCAGACGATGTGTTTGCTGCCACGTTCCTTAGGCTGCTGTTGATGTTCTGGAATTGGACTTTGTTGTCCAAATTGCTCGGGTTTTGCAGGAAAATCCCCCTCTCTGCTGAGAGTCAGGTCTTCTCATGTTGGAATTTAGAATTTTTCAAGAGAACAGGCTCTTAATTCATCACCTGAGACCCCAAAACATGGCAAAAGGTCGCATCGACCTCCAGCACAGCAGCAGCTCGTGTTTCTTAATTTCCCATCCTATTTTCATGGAATCTTCCTGGGATGGAGATGGCTGGATATAATTTTGACTTTGCTTTCCCTCCTTCACATGTGCAACTGGGTAATGCTGAGATGCTTTCCATGCCTGTCTCAACTGGACATACACTGGGTGTATTAACGGTGAAATATTGTGAAATTCAGTGTATGGGACTGAAAAACGAAACTCTTCACTAAATCCTGACTAATCTGGTGCCACAGGAACAATGCAATTTGGGACTGGAGGTGTTAAACGCAGTCTTGTTACTCTGAGTTAATTTTAAACTCTGGTTTTGCCAGTGAGCTGTGTTCCAATAGTTTAAAACTTGGGTTTTTTTGATACCAGTCTGATGCTAAACCAAGCTGCTGCCTCCTGTTGTCCTGGTGACTCCACCGTGGTGTGGACCTTGTGTTCAGTTACCAGTAAAAAATGTGATTTTTTTGGTTTTTTTGGTCGTGTGGATTTTTTTACCTGATGTTGAATTTATTTTTTTAATGGTTTTTTTTTCTCATTAGAACTTGAAACTGTTATTTCATACACAAACTTCAATAAAATGGCTGAAACACAGTGTTTGAGACTGAAGTGGGGTGAAGGGAAGATATTGGGGCTGGGAAGGATGGTAGGAGGATGAGGTTTGAGGTGCATCCGCTGGATGAACTAATTTTTCAGGGTGAAATAACCTGACATTGAATGCCATTCCTAGGAGTAGAATTTACTGTGTGAGACAAAGAAAATCTGGGGGTAAAATCTGCACATTTCCAGCATCCCAAGCATCCGTCTGAAGATCTGTGCACTCTGCATGGGCTGAAGAAGCTCCAGGCAAACCCTTAAATTTCGATGATGCATCACAAAAAGGAATGTCACTGCTGTTGCTTTGGCAAAGCAAAAACAAGTGGAGGTGCCCACCGGGAATGTGACCCATGTGCTCCAATCACAGATGGAAATCCTGCAAAATGAGGTTTGAAGTTCATTTGAAAACCTTGTTCTTGGCTTCAAACTGTGTCTGAGCTTCACCCAAAAGCAAACTTGGCCAAATAGTGTCAAAGCTTTTGTTTTGCATTATTGGATGCCTTAAAAATGTGGAAGTTTGATCTCTGATGCCCAGAGAAGCTGTTGCTGCCCCATCCCTGGGAGTGTTCGAGGCCTGGCTGGAGCAGCGTAGCAGAAGGTGTCCTTGCCCATGGCAGGGGGTGGAATAAGATGAACTTTAAGGTCCCTTCCCACCCAAACCATTTCAAGATTCCATGACTGAATGATTCCATGATAAAATGACTTGAACTGTGCATCCAAGTGCTACTGGGCCCTGTCCCATGGCCAGAGGTCCCAGGCTCCTGCGAGGGGATTTTATTTCAGTGGTCACTGAGCCAGGAGCACAGGCTGTTATCCCAAGTTACTAGGTTATTTTTGCAAATCCCATTCTTAGGACTGAATTCCAGGCATAAATCCTGCAAGAGGTTCCAGGACCTGAACTGGAAGGCTCAGGACTGGGAGCAGAGCATCAGCCACTTGTGCCCACAACCACCCTGGGCAGGATGAAACCAGAGGAATTCAGCAGTGAGGAAACAACTCACTTGACCCTGTCAGCCTCGAGAATTCTGAAAGGGTCAAAGAAGTTCCTAGTAAAGCAGCGTTGAGGGTGGAGAGGGTTTGTTGAGGGTGGAAAGGGTTTGTGTGGTTTCTTTTCTCTTTGCTCTCGAGGTTTGCTGTGAGCTCTGCTGGGGGAAGGACGATCCACGTTGAGCAAAAGCAGCTTCAGCTCACATATTCCCAAATTATCCCAGCGTGGCCATGCAGGATGGGACCACAGTAGCTCCTGTCCTGTATGGGTGGCAGGGGCAGATTTCAGGCTGGGAGGAGTGACCCTCTCTGGTTCAGGGGGTTTAGGAGCTCTTGCTGCTGCTTTCTGTGCTGTGACCTTGATTTCTCTCAGCTCCTCCCCGTGGTGGCTCCAGCTGCAGGTTTCAGTTGACATGTGGTGAACTGGGGGGTGCTTAAACATCCGTGGAAAACAGGATGTTGCAAACTTTGAGGTGGCATGAAACCACCAGCAGCCAAAAGCAGCTCTGGAGGAAGGTGAATTTGGCACATTCCACCCGGGACTGCCTGAAAAGCCCCAGGACACACCTTCCCTGGCACCACTGAGGGGTGGAGGGTGATGTTCCTGTACCAAATTCAGGGGGGAACCTTGATTTGAGGCACACCCTCAACCCCTGTGGGTTTTGCAGAGTTTCCAGCCCATACCTGGAGTGATAAACAGATGGAGAGGACTCTGCACGAAGGAACTGCAGAGGGACTGGATGTGATCAGTGCCAACAGCTCTTTTGCCCGGAGTTGGATTGGATTTGCCAATATTTTGAGGAAGAGCTGAGAGAAGCAGAGAGGCTGGTGGGGTGTAGGTCAGCCTAGGGGTGGCACAGTGTGATTCCAGGATGGATGTCTCCTGCTTCATCCCCAGAGGTTATAAACAGTGGAAAATGCCCTCGTGGCAGTAACACAGTGTTGGGTGCTCAGAGCCACACATGGAGCAGGCACCAGTGCTCCCTGGGTTTGTGATGGATAAACTCATCTTAAAATAAGGGTCTGGAGGAATTTGGCTGCACAAGGGCTGGGTTCTGCTGCCTTTTGGCTGATATTTGTCTCTTCCTTACCCACGTGAGGACTGGGTGGCTTTGGAAGCCTCCCCTCCAGCAGTGCATCCCTGCACACCCACAGAGCTGTGCAGTAAATCCTTCTCTTGCTGCCTTGGAATTTGCTGCTTGGGAATTTCCCTGGGTGTTATTTCTTCCTTGCATGATGAAGAAATATTGATTAATCATTCCCTGCTCACTCCCTCACCACTGTGCAGGATTTTAATGGCCTGTGTCATGTCCCTCTTTCCAAGCCAGAGCATCCAGCTCTTCCAACCATGACTTTTCCAGGATGCTGTAGAGGGGCTCTCCCAGCTTGGAGTCAGGCTCTTAAAGGTATTTCCCTGCTCCTCAAACTGTGCCTTGCTAAGGAGCCCTTTTTCTAGACACTTCACTTCCTATTTTTTGAATGGATGGTAGTACCCAAAGGGATTTTCCTTTGTGTTCCAACCAGTGAGGCATTGCATCCTTTTTCAAGGGATGTTGTCCATCCCTCTGCTCCACATTTATCCATGGGACTGCTAAGGTTGTAATTTCCCCCATGGAAATCTCTTTTACTTTACAGCACCTTGTCCAGGCTATTTGTTTTTATTCAACTGACTCGTGAGTTTCTTTGACCACTGCTGCAGTCCCAGCTTCTCATCCCACTTGTCTGCAGGGTCCCGGGTCCTGAGGATTTAAGTGGTGGTGTTTCTCTTCTGTATTTGGGAAGGGTGGAAACAGTTTTTATTTCCTGCTCTGTCAGTAATTGTTGTGTCACCTCTTGGTTTATCCTGATGGCAGGAAAGGAAATATTGCCTTGACTTCATGGGGTTGTGAAATCTATGGAATCAGAGGATGCTGCAGGGATGGTCACTCCACAGAGTGATGGGAATTTTGAACGGTCCTTCCTGCAAACACTATCATTTCCTTTATACAGCAACTTTTCCACAACCCCAGAGGATTTAAGCACAAATCAAGGGAACCACCAGGATCTGGACCACGGATCTGAGCTGCTCTTGCCCTGCCCAAGTCACTAGGGCATCACACCAAGGCATGTGGGTGATGCCACAGCTCCCTTCAGTGTCAGCAGTGACAGCCCCGGTGGGTGCTGCTTGTCTGGGAAAACGTGACCTGGAAGCGGAGGGTGGGGAGGGGAAGAAGGAGAAACTGTGGCTAAAAATAGCTATTTTTGAAATAAATGGATGAAAAACTCTTTGAAGAAATGAGGGGAGAGGGGGAGTGTTTCCGTGGAAACGGGGAAGTCTGTCTCTTCCTTAGAGAGAGGGTGGGAAATGAAGAAATAGTAAATACAGGAATGACGGGGAAGAGGATTCTGTGTGGCATTCCCAAGGGATGGAGGAGAGGGGATGTGGGGTCTGAGCTCACTTGGGACCCAGAGGAAGCAGATCAGGCTCTGACAATGCCTGCTCAGGTAGCCTGGGAATGTCACCTTGTTTCGTATCCTTGTCACCTGTGACCTGCCCGAGTTACCTTGAGAACAGCGAGCCCAGAGCTGGGGACACACAGTGTCACCACGATGGGGCATCTCCACCACCCCTGGTGGCTCAGCAGAGGTGATAAAATAATGAATATCCTCCAAATGCTTTGAAAAAGTACACAGAATCTTGTATTTTTTTCTTCTGGGAATTTCCCACCATGGCATGGACATTCCAAGGGGATACCAGCAGGGAAGGGAATTGTGCTGGGCAGCAAAGACACAGGGGGGGTTTGGTTGCATGGTGGTGGCAGCCAGGGGCTTATGGCAAGATTAGGGGCCAGGTGGAGAAGGCATGGAATTTGGCACGGCTCCCAGTCTGGCATGATCCACAATTTGGCCCATGATGTGGCCCTTGTTTTGGCACAGCTCAGAATCTGGCGCAGATCGAGGACTAGCCTGAGCCAGGATTAAAACTAAAAAGAGGGTCAATTTAGATTCCATATAAGGAAGAAATTCCTCCCTGTGAGGGTGGTGAGGCCCTGGCACAGGTTGCCCAGAGAAGCTGTGGCTGCCCCATCCCTGGAAGGGTCCAAGGCCAGGTTGGACGGGGCTTGGAGCAACCTGGGCTAGTGGAAGGTGTCCCTGACCGTGGCAGGGGGTGGGACTGGATGAGCTTTCAGGTCCCTTCCAGCCCAAACCAGTCTGGGATTCCATGATTCGTTTCACCATTTGGCATGGCCATGGGGCTGCCATGTCCCAAAACTTGGCACAGTACAGGAAAGCTCAGTGACACTTTGTGCCATTCCATTCTGTGCCATCTCATGGCTGAAGCTGCCCCCTGCCACCATGCCCACAGTGCCATCATACCTACCCCAGAGGGAAGGCACCCCCCAGCCTAACCATCCCCACTGTGGCTTCACCTCCCTGCACATCTCTGTGAGGGAGGAAGAGAAGAGGGAAATCATCCTCTCAAACCACTTTTCCTCCTGGCTCATTTGCAGTCCTGCTGCTCCTCAGGAGGGATGAGTGTCTGGGGTGTTGCAAAAAATCTCACCCCATTCTATGGCTCAGATCTGACCTTCAGCCAGACAGAGTGGGACCTGGGAGTTTGGATTGACAGGAAGCTGAACATGAGCCACCAGTGTGCCCAGGTGGCCAAGAAGGCCAATGGATCCTGGCCTGGATCACGAGCAGTGTGGCCAACAGGTCCAAGAAAGTGATTCTTCCCCTGGACTCAGCGCTGGTGAGGCCACCCCTGGAGTGCTGTGTCCAGTTCTGGGCCCTCAGTTCAGGAAGGACATTGAGGGGCTGGAGCAGGTCCGGAGGAGAACAACGAGGCTGGGGAAGGGACTGGAGCACAAGTGCTGTGAGGAGAGGCTGAGGGAGCTGGGGCTGTTCAGCCTGGAGAAGAGGAGGCTCAGGGGAGACCTCCTCACTCTCTGCAACTCCCTGACAGGAGGGGGGAGCCGGGGGGGGGTTGGTCTCTTCTCCCAGGCAATGATCAGCAAGACAAGAGGGCT